CATCCCGATTCTGCTCGTGGGCTGTTTGGTGCCCCCTCGTCGCAGTGCACGGCCTTCCGACGGTTGACGCTTTCGGCATCGGCGGTGACGTGGGCGGCGTCAGCGGGAAGATGTTGTCCCTCCTCTTCCTGCTGCTCCTCCTGCTCCTCCTCCTCCTCCTCCTCCTCCTCCTCCCCCTCCTCCTCCTCCTCCTCCTCCTCCTTCTCCTCCTCCTGGACTCTTGAGGCACGCTCCACCTCCTCCTCCTCCTCCTCCTCCTCCTCCTCCTCCTCATCTTCTGTGTCCCCCTCCCGACAACTTAGTCGTCTTGTTCCTCCGTTTCCTCTTCCTGCACTCCGCCGCCGAGAGAAGCTGGCGCGGGCCATGACCCTCCTCGGTCCGTACGAAGGGGGGGCCCTCTGAGGTCCAGGTGTTCATGGCCGCCCTGTCCTCCGTGTACTTCTCGGATCGCTACCGGATGTTGCTCACGTCGCTCGCCGGCGACACCGACCAGGACGGCCGAAATCGATGGCCGACCGAGCCAGTGTTCTACCACGAGATCCACTTTGCCGTGCCAGCTTTTCGGGAGGCCGACATGCCGAATGTAGTTTGTTTCCGTGACGGCCTCGAGAAATTCATCGCACGGCACAGGCTAGAAGAGTTGAAAGTCTATGACGCAGAGGGCCAGATCTGAGGGCGCTTCTTCAGCTGATTCGTTCAGCGCATGTGCCCCGGAGCACGGTCATAGCCACGTCGTACGTGCGGTTGGATGTACAGCTTTCCAGACCATACAGCTCCGCCACTCTGTAATCATCTCCATCTGGTCCATCCAGCATTGTTGCGACTCTGTTCCAGATTCGTCATGTGGGCGTCCTCGTTCTCCTCTATAATGAGAGGACCAAAAGCGAGGCTGAACTTGCAGCACGAGTCTGAGTTGCGCGCAGTGATAAAAGCAGCACCACGATGGTGCCTCTATTAGGGCCCGTGCAAGAAGTTCTTACCCGCCTTCGAGGGGCTCCAGCTGGGAAGCGTCACCACAATTCCCCAAACAGCTCCTACACTGAGGGGCTCGCATTTGGCCTCTCAAGACATGGCATTGCTTGGCGCACACTTCCCAGTGGGCGATTGAAGTTCTACATAGTATTGTGGATTCTTATTGTTCCACCCCATCCATTGATCTCGACCACGTTTGTTTCCCTGGTGGCCTCTTGCATTCTTAGGTACGGTTTCAAATTGGGTTCCTATGGCTGACCCACCCGCTGGACCTGTGTGCCGCACTTGCTGGTGGGCGAGGCCAATCCTGGGCTCACGGTCGGTGTGTGTGTGTGTGTCGCCCACTGGCCAAGCCCTGATGCCGTACACACCGATCATGGGCCCAGGATGGGTTTGGCCAGGATCGGCGTATGGCGTGTTCTTCGCCGCGTCGACGAGGATGACGACGACGACAATGATGACGACGATGACGACAATGATGATGACGACGACGACCACCACCACCACCACGACAATGAACGACAATGATGACGACGACAATGACGACGACAACGACGACGACGACGACTACGACGACGACGACGACAACGTCGACGACGACGACGACGACGACGACGACAACGATGACGGTGCACCCGACTCATGCTGGGGCTCGTTCTGGCCAGATTTCCGAGGTGTGCGGACACAGCCGTGGCCACGTCGGCGCCCATGGAGGCCCGAAATGGGCGCAAAAGTCCAAAGACCTCGATCCTCGCTTCCTCCTCCTCCAAGGGGGATGAGAGGCAAGGAGAGGGGGAGTGAAAGAGGTGCTTCAAGAGAAAGCGACCCCTCACACCTCGGGGGAAGCGAGCACAAAGTAAGGAGAAGGAGGGGATGGAGAGAGGGGGAGGTGAGGGAACAGGAGGGGGGAGGACGGCAAGGAGGAGAAGAGAGAGGACGGGGGGGGCCAGAAAGGAGAAGGGTGAGGAAAGGCAGGCACGGAAGGAACAACGCTGCAGCCCTTGAGCGAAAGTCTGCAAACGTCAAACAGACAGGCACAGGAGGAGGAGGAGGAGGAGGAGGAGGGTTGTGATGGGGGTGCGGGGGTGGAGAGCGAGTGGAAGGGAACGAGAGGCGGGGTGGGGTGGGAGGGGGAAGCGGGGAAGAGAAAGGGACGGGCGAGGGCAGGCGCGAGGCAGAGAGGGACGGCGCAGTCACGACACTTGAAGCAACTGGACTGCGCAGGGGGCTCTGGCTTCCGGGTCGTCCCTTCGATCTGGGCCTCGGGGCTTCGTAAACGGGGGTTTAGCTGAGCGGTGGCTCAGGCTTTTCCGTATGGCCCCGTTTCCAGGAGCTCGTTCGCGGCTGGGGCTCTCCGTCGCCCGAAGAGCCACTCCGTTCTTGCCTCTGGCGCTCCTCGGGGAAGCGCGCGGACTGCAAGGGGGGAGCGGGGGGGGGAGAAGTGCGGAGAGCGGAGGGAAAAGGGGACGGGGAAGAGGGGAGAGGGAAGGAGTAGGGGAGGGAAACAAGCTGGGACGAGGAGGAAAAG